CATCCCTACTGTGCTGGCTGTGACTGACCCAGGCACCTGTATCAGATGGACAGGCAGACACCCGAAGGCCAGCTATGGAAATAAACACCCAGGGTTTGTTTTTCTGTAGATATTTTAAATGCACACAAGTCCAGACCCGTCCCGGGCTGCTAGCGTTCGTGGATTACTCATTCTCCCAACCACGTCATTGCGGGGATCCAGGTGGCCAGCGGGTATTTGCTTACAATGGCTACTGCTGGTTCCCCATGAGCTGTTTATTTTTCCAGGCCTCAGGTCATTACATCAGCCAGCAGTTTCCAGGGGGGCCACGAGTGCTGGCCTGAGGGTGGGGGATCCAGCCAGGAGGCGCAGTTGCCTCGGTGACTCCAAGTGCCTATCATGCCCTCTGTCGCAGCAGGAACATCCTGGAGGAGGCAGGAACAATCCAAAATGGGGCTCTGACGCCAGCAGAAACAGGCAGGGATGCAGCAGACAGCACACCTATGAAGGCACAGGGCACTGGCAAATGCAGACACTGTAGCACACGGGGAGATGGGGTTAAAGTTGATAAGAACCACACCCTCACTTGTGTCTTTGCTGACAGCTCAGTCTTGGGGGTGGAGCCTCTGCAAGCAGTTCCGCCCACTGACACACAGAAGGAGGCGTGTGGGTCTTAGGGCCAAGGTGGGTAGTAGGATGGTTCTTTGGGACTTAATCCCAGAGTCAGGTTCTAGGGCCTTCTTGAAGTTCCTGATCAGGTGATAAAACAAGTTAACTAGGAAAGACAGGGACAAAGGAAAGAGAGGGATGGGGAAACAGAGAGGGCCATCATTCCATGCCACTCCATACAAGGCTGCAGCACTAACTCAACCCATGGAGCAGAGGGAACAGCAGAGGAGAGTTGAGGCTTCCATAACCATGCTTCCTGAGAGACTGTACCTCCCTGGAGGAGAACGCACAGAATGTTGTCATAGAAAAACAGACAGACATAAATCCTGCTTAGGAAAGCATCTGCACATGGTCAGTTAGAAGCAGTGTGGCATGGCATGAAGAGTGAGATGAAGTCCATTCTTGTAATTTGTTTAATCTCTTTACCCTCTTCTATGGAATGAAGATGGTTGAAAAGTACTTTCATCTCTGGGCATGTTAAGAAATGCCTCGGAAGCAAACCCTGATACAAAAATCTCAGCCAAAATGTATATCAGGGCAGAACATGGTCCCGGCCAACACTCATCTGTGAGGAGGTGTTGCTCTCGGGTTCAGGGGTGTCAGCTGGCCAGGTGTGTCATCTGTGGGTGCAGGAAGAAGTCCTGGTGCACAGCAGAGGCAGTGGAGGAGAGACCTGAAGAGAAGGAGGCCACAGAGGCAAATCTGTGGGTTCAGAAGCTGCCAAGTACTCTGCCAAGTTCGCTGACCACAGCGAACGCATGACACGGCCTGACAAGCAGAGACCAGACTTCCAGGAGGGGAGGAGGTGGCTGGAAGGACTGCAGGAAGATGTGTCATGCTGCTGCCAAGCTTCAGCTGCCCAGTGGAACCTGTCCAACACCAACAGTCCTCAGGCCAGAAAACAAACCCGGCGTCGCAGGGTCTGAGTGTGAAGAAGGATGTGCGGGGCTTAAGAGAAGCCGGGATCATCTCTCTGCCTCCGAGAGACAGCTCAGAAGATCGTTCACCTTGACAGCTCTCAGAGTCCCCTGGGGCGTGGGCTGGAGTGCACCTGAACCTGGAATCTTCCATCAAACTCTACTGGAAAACTGTCTTAAGGGTTTGAGCCAGCTGTCCAGACACAAGTTATCGTTGAAGTGCATCTGACTTCTCGTTAAACCAAGTGTGCTGACATGGGAAATGTGGCCAGTGTAACATACAAAGATATTCCATTATGAGCAGACAGTGTTTTGTTATGCTTTTTTTAAAAATCACTAGTGGTACACCCACTAAGTGCCAGGCATTATACAGTTGCTGTAGAGTCCTCCCAAGAGTCCCACAAGGTACTCTTAACTTTGCTTTCCATGTAAGGAAATCAAGACTCAGAGGCATTAACTCACTGTCCCAAGCTCACCAAGCTCTGGGGGAAGCTGGCACTGGAAGCTGGGTCTGCAGGTCTGTTGGACACCAAAGCCTGGCGTCCACCATAACATGGTCTCTCCCTCCTCAACACAGAAGGTTCCCTACCCCTGCCTGAGAAAGCCAAGCTCAGGATGCTTCCTTGGCAACCCACTTGTGAATGCACACACCAGAACAGGATGATAGGGTCCATGAGAAGAGTTTTGTGAGTGGTTCCAAGAGTTCCCATATGGTGCCAGGAAACACTCTGCAGCTTGGTCTACGAGATGGACCTACAACCCTGAGTCAGACACCCCCTATCCACATGCTCCCACCCAAATGCGTCTATTTCAATCACATAGGCCAGGGACCAGAAAGTTCTTCTGTGAAGGGCCAGACGTCAGCAATTTGGGCTTTGCAGATCACACAGGCTCTGCTACAACTCCTCAACTCCACTGTGGTGAACGACAACAGCCACAGACAATGTGCAAATAAATGGCTGTGGCTGTGTGCCAATCAAAGTTTATTTGCAAAAACAGGGGGCCATGTGCCAACCTCTGCCACATGCCTGTGTGGCTCCATGTCTGTTATAAACAATTACATCAAGAAGATCGACAGGTACTCAGTCAATATTACCAGTTCACCATGCTGGAGGAAGTCCCAGTTTTGTAGGAGATTTCAAAGTTACCAGTCCCTAACAATTTCCCCAGGTTTCAGTTTCTCCCAGAGAGCCATTACATCTCCCCCAGCTATCCTGTCCTGTCCACTAATCTTACAGACACAACTGGAGTCAATCAGGGAAAGATGGAAGTGGTCAGGTCACTCCAGCAAGGTGTTTTCACCTGCCTGCATTTCTCAGCAGGACCTTGTACTCGCCCAGTTGGAAAGGAGGAATGGGAGGCAGAAGAACTTCACTGGAAACAGCGATGACCAATGGACTGTGTCGACACCACTTTACTGCACTCAGAGAACACAGCCCAGGAAGCCAGCGGTCTACTCCCAAGGAGAGCTCCTTTTCTCCAGCCCAGTCACTTACTAGCTTCAACCCAGGACAAGATACTTCCTCAGTCTCAGCCTCCTCCCATCCTTCATCTACAAGATAGGGATAATAATCTCAGTTATAGGGTTAGGATGAAGCGCAAATGAAATGACAAAACTTCTACAGGACCTGACGCAGACAATTTATTGGACAGTGCTCTTCTAACCTGACTGATAATGATGATAATGATCTTTTCTCCTTCACCCTTCTCCAAAGCCACCAAACACCACACTTGAGTCTTTAACAGGTTAGCATGTTAGGCAATAATTCTCTTGAGCACACAGAGTTTATAACCCACCCAGGTGGAGAAATTAACCACTGGTGGGTGAGAAAGATATTCAAGGAGGCAGTTGCTAAATGTCAAGTGAGTGTTTCAGGTTAAAGGTGCTGTGTTATTCAGAGAGCTTACCCTCATGTCCTCCACCTGGTCAGAGAATGAGAATCAACCCCCTTACTGGGAACTTGGAGAACTTCCAGGGCTTCAGGAACTAGGCAGACCAGTTGTAAAGGTAATATCCAGCACCAGATGCCACAGGCACCAGAACCACTTTCCCTTGACTCGTATTTGCCTAATGGTGAGGGGGAGTAGAGGCAGGGCCTAAGGAGAAACCTGTCTAATAGATGCCTTTGCTTATGATGACAATCACAAATTCCTAATAACAATATTATTAATTCTTAATAATAAATGTCCTCACAATGTATCCATCAGCTAGTCATCAGTTAAGTGCCATGTAGACATTAACTTAGTTAACTTTAGACCACTATCCTTTGAGGGAGACATTGTGATCTCATTTGACAAGTGAGAACGGAGGCCCAGTGGGATGATGTGACTTGACTGGGGTCACTAAGTGTGGGGGATAGAATGTGAGCTCAGGCTTCACTGTGCTATTCTGCCAAAGACTCTGACCCCAGGGCATTCACAGGGTCTCCTCCCACCCCACCATCCTATACCGCCAGCTGTTATTCAACAGAGAACCAGACACACAGAGAGGTACAAACCGGCCCAAGTCACAAAGGAACTCAACCCATGGTGCCTGAGTTCACCACTTGGTCTGTATCACTCCTTGTGGCCAGGACGATATAAACCCCACATTGCCACCTGTAGAACAGAGCTGGCACACAAATAAACCTTGGGGGACAAATGGCAGCATGCTTATTAAATTAACGGTCAGGCAAAACTCGGTCTGCCGGTTCAAGGGCATATATCTTTTGTTTATAGTCCTTGCCACCTATAAAAAAAAGATGATAGGGTTAAATTCAACCACCAGGCACAAACGATGTAGAGTGGTACTTTTCACAGTGAAGTCTTGGGCTGAAAGAAGGATGATCCTTCTTGATAGATCCTGACTTATCTTGGCACACATTTCTCCGTGGATGGACATCTGGTCTTTATGGACAGTAAATGACCTTTACTGACTTTAGTCTTTACAGATGGTAAATAAACTCAACAAATAAATCCTACAAATGATCATCCTTTCAAAAATTATTTCCTTCCTATAAGGAGTTCAGCCAGTGCCAAAACCTGATTACACATCAGACCCCTGAAAGATCAAACCAGAAAAGACAAGACTGTAATCTGCTATTTAGAGCCTTAAACATATAGAAGTAAGTCCCTCCAGGCTTGAAGTCCAGCTTCTCTACATCCAGCCACTCTTCTTTCAAATTCTTCTGCATGGCTATAGAAAGTCAGTCAATATATTACAATATACTGTTAAAACTTTTTCAGCTAAAAGGATCAACTGCTCATGAAAGATGATCCCTAAGATAATAACTGAAAAATTAGAAAGGATTAACTCATTCAATCTCCTTCTTTTATAGCTATAGAAATTGAAGAACAGAGAGATGATTAAGTGACTTTCCTGAACCCGCACAGCAGGTGGTCATGGGACAACCAGGACTGACTGGGTACGTACATCACCCAGGGATGGCCATTTACCTGAATTTCTGATGTTGGTGTTGTTCAGTTTGGAGTCCTTGATCACCAAGTGCTTAATCCATAGAGTTGGGGCTGTAATTTCTAGGGGGAAAACAAAGAGAGAGGGAAAGTCTCAGAAAAAAAATGCAATTTGAAGTGCAACTTCAGATTTTATTTTTATTTTTCTGAGTCGAGGTCCCACTCTGTCACCCAGGCTGGGGTGCAGTGGCACGAACACAGCTCACTGAAGGCTCGAGCTCCTGGGTTCAGGTGATACTTATGCCTCAGTCACCATGCCTGAATAATGTTTTATTTTTCATCGAGATGAGATCTCACTATGTTGCTCAGGCTGGTCTTGAACTCCTGGCCTCAAGTGATACTCTCACCTTGGCCTCCCAAAGTGTGGAATTACAGGCGTGAGTCACCGTACCTGGACACACCAGACTTTTTAACGGTGGTTTTTAAAAGTCTGAGGCATCGAAGCTTTGGCTGTCTCCCTTATTCCACATCCACCTCTCCCAGTGCCTCCTCCTCACAACGGAAGCTCCTCTCCCCACCAGCTCTGAAGTGCCGACAAGGCCATCTGGGAGGCAGGGTGGTCAGGGCCCAGAGGCACTGAGCCACTCCATCCAGGAATACAAATATTATCCCAGGAGGTAGGGAACGTGGGCCAAGCCAAGTCCCTTCAGCTGCTTCCCGGGAAGAAGATTTAGAAGGAATAAGTCAACAAACAAACGCCAAACAAACCACAGAAACCTTTTTAGCGGAAACGGCTGGGCCATAGCAGCCTCAGCTTGCTAAGACTATGCTCCAGATGAGAGAGGAAGCAGAGGGTCTAACATGCGCCTCCACCCCTGGGCTCACGGTTCCAGCAGGGGCTGAGGTTCTCTGCCCAAGGAGCGTCGTGGGCTCCAGGCTCTCCAGGACTCAGGCCATGCCGTGGACGGGTGGTGTGGGAGGCCCAAGTGGCCCTGAGCACTCCGTGGAGTGGCAAGATCTCTGGTGAGGGTGTGGGGAGGTCTCCCAAGATGATATGGTCTCCAGTCCCCACCCTGTACCCCAGAGTCCCAGGCCTGCCAGTGATCCAGGACCTCTGTGGGTCAGAGAGACACAGAAACTCTTAGACGTGAGCATATACATGTTTCACTAAATGAACCAGATGCAGAAAAGCTTGCACATTTTGGTCCTTCTGCCAGAGCTGCACCTGTGCTAGGGACGTCCCTGGCCACAGGGCAGACCAGCAGCACAATTTCTTCTTTTCTGAGTTGGGGGTCTCACTGTGTCACCCAGACTGGAGTGCAGTGGCAGATCCTGGCTCACCACAGCCTGGACCTCCTGGGCTTAAGAGATCCTTCCACCTCAGCCTCCTGAGTAGCTGGGACTATAGGCACGTGGCACTATGCCGGGCTAATTTTTTGTAGAGAGGAGGTCTGGCTATGTTGCCCAGGCTGGTCTCAAACTCCTGGGCGCAAGTGATCCTATCACCTCAGCCTCCCAAAGTGTTGGGATTACAGGCGTGAGCCACCACACCCAGGCACTCATTGTCCAGTCTCATGGTCCTAGTCTGGACATGCTCAGTTGGGAGCTACTAAGCTTGCTGCAAATTGCACTGAAGGCCGAACCTTGTTCTCAGGTTTTCTAGACCTCTCACTCTGCCAACCCCCTGCCCCCAGCAGCCTGGAATACTCAGTAAAGTGCACTGAAGAACTCGGACCCCGAGCAATGCCAGCCTGAATTGGGGCCAACCCTCTATATCCCATGAGCCTTCTATCCCACCCCCTAGCCTCTAAGATGTCCAGCCTTTATTTTGCCACCAGCCACCACTGTTTCTCTTGACCTAGAACTTCTGCTCTTCCAAATATCTGCCTCAACTCTCAAAGTCCCTAGAACCTAGACCAACCAGTTCCCCATCAGTCTCCTTCCGGCCACTGTCCTCACTCTATTCGTCTCCACTGCACTCCCTCCTTGTCCAAACACCCTGGTTTCTCTGGCACTTTGAGGATCCAGTTAAGTCTTAGCTCTTCACAGAGGCTATTCTGAGACCATAGAGATCTCTGTCTTCCATAATTGTTGATTACAATAAAAATCAAGACGAGGGTAACCTCTTAGGGTTCCCTCCCACTGTGGGAGCTTTTCTGTCCTCTAAATAAATCCTGCTTAAAAAAAAAAATCCAGGCCAGACCAGGTATGGTGGCTCACACCTGTAATCCCAGCACTTTGGGAGGCTGAGGCAGGAGGATTGCTTGAAACCAGCCTAGGCAACATAGCGAGACACTGTATCTAATTAAAAAAAAAAATTAAGGCCACATAATTCAACACACAAAGTTCTCTAAGAGTCGCTGCCCTCTTGAGAGCAAAGGCCCATATCCCTATTCCTCCTTTCCCTTCCCCAGAGGGCCTTGCACACTGCCGGATACAGAGCAGGCGCTTGTTCTTGCTGACAAGTCACTGCAGGGACACTGTCGCCCGATTTCTGGGTGCTGGCAGTCCCAAGAGTCTGTCTAGGCTGTATTATTGCTGGATATCAGGAGACAGGAGGGGAAAGTGCACCAGCTCCCTGGAGGACTTGCATTTTTCAGAAAGGTTAAAAACAACCCTGCTCACATTGGGAAAAACTAAAATTTAAAAAGCAAATAATGACTGGGCACACCAGCTCACACCCACAATCCCAGCACTTTGGGAGGCTGAGGTGAGAGCACCGCTTGAGCCCCAAGCATTCAAGGCCTTATCTCCATGATAAATAAATAAATAAATAAATAAGGGGAAGAAAAGCAAATAATAATAGTAGAGCTTAGAGAAACAACCAAAGCAGAGGACATTTCCCAAACCTGAGAACAGGTAGGAGAAGGCAGGCCAGGGGAGGCAGGTGCTTACCATCTCCGTCGAACACCGGCTGGGTCTCCACTGTGGGCGTTGGCCTAGCCCCATCATCTGAGTTGAGAGTGAGGAAGAAGCGAAAGGAGACTACCATTATTGAGGTAAATACTATCTACTCTCCGCACTGTTGAATGGTTGGGGTTTGCACAAGGCCTGGCTAAGGCCCAGGGAAGAGACCAGAGGGAAGGAAAGGAAAGAGGATGAGACCATGAAGGAAAGACCCAGAAAGAAATACCAGCAGGAGAACAAACCCAGGCATATGCCCGCCACCCCACAGACAGCCCCAGGAGCCAAGACTTCAGAGTTGCAGGAGACCCATTCTCAGAGATCTTCAGATACCTGCATGCTGGCCAGCCCTTGTTCTTCCCCACAAGAGGCCAGGAGGAGGCATCTCCCCCACAGCCCCTTGGCCAGGCACATGAGGATAAGGCTGGCATTCCTACAGCAGGGGTCCCCAACTGCTGTGGCCTGTTAGGAACCAGGCTGCACAGCAGCAGGTGAGTGGCAGGGGACGCAGTAAAGCTTCATTTGTGTTACAGCTGTTCCCCATCGCTCGCATGACCACCTGAGCTCTGTCTCCTGTTAGATCAGCGGCAGCATTCAATTCTCATAGGAAAGCAAACCCTGTTGTGACCTGCACACACGATGGATCTAGGTTGTGTGCGCCTAAGAGAACCTAATGCCTGATATCTGAGGTGATGGAACTGAGGCAGTGGTAGCGCTGGGGAGTGTCTGCAAGTACAGATTCACAGGAGCAGGGAGGTTTGACTGCAGAGACCCTCATAAATCAACTGCTTGTAGACTCATATCAGAACCCTATTCGTGAGTGGCAAGTGAGTTGATGTGCTTCAATTGTGCAGCTGCATCTGGCGGCAGGCTTTAAGTCAAAAAAGTCAGAATTCAACACTTATTTTAGTCTTCACATGACCCACCCATTATTATTATTATTATTATTTTAGTTGGAGTCTCACTCCATTACCTAGGCTGGAGGGCAGTGGCACACTCATGGCCACCCCAGTGTCGACCTGCTGGGCTCTGGCGATCCTTCTGCCTCAGCCTTTCAAGTAGCCGGAACTACGGGCGCATGATATCACACTCAGATAATTTTTGATTTTTTGTAGCGACGAGGTCTCACCAGGTTGCCTGGGCTGATCTTGAACCTGCGGGCTCAGGCAACCCACTCGCCTCAGCCTCCCAAAGTGCTGGGATGACAGGCTGATCCATTATTCTATTTACCACTTCAATCTGTGTCTCTCTTTTTTGTTTTATGGTGAGTGGTATAATCATTTCATTATATATTACAATGTAATAATCACAGAAATAAAGTGCACAATAAATGTTACGTGCTTGAAATCATCCTGAAACAATCTCCCTCACCCCTGGTCCGCGGAAAAATTGTCTTCCATGAAACCTGTCCCTGATGCCAAAAAGGTTGGAGACCGCTGCCTTAAGACACCCAATCCTGGCATCCCCAGCTCCTCTTCTGCTCCCTTGTGAGAGGTGCCAGCTCAGAGCTTTTGTCCAGTGGCCCTGATTAAAGAGCGTGGGGAAAACAAGAGCTCTGGGTGCTAATCCCTGCCAAGCTCCTAGCTAAACATTTCTCCACCCTCAGTTACAAAAGGTGAGCAGACAGGAAGGCCCGTTCTCTCTCCAGCACGTAGCACTAAAGAGAATCAGGAATCCTCAGAACACTTCTCACTGTGAAAGATCAAACACCCCAATGCCCAGCAAGAGGTTGGGACTAGCAAAATGCAAGAGGACGTGGGATGCTGCAGAAATCACCCCAGACTCACTCTGCAATTCCTAACATAGATGGTAGGCACAGGAAGTTCCTGCTAACAAAGTCCTACTGCTGATCACTTTAGTAATGCTGGCAGCTCTTGGCAGAGCAAGAACCTCCTCAGGTCAGGAGTCAGCACGGACTTTGTTTATTTACTTTCTGGGACTCTAAGTTCTTTTCATCCAGGCCCCAAAACTCTGAGCCCTATCACAAAACTGCCCAGTGAAGGGGCACTTTTAGACCATTTTTTTCCTAATCACCCCTAATGTTAATAACACAGATAAACTGCATACATATGTGTATGTGTGTGCTTTACAGGTAAAATACATTTATTTTCACCCCTCCAGACCCCAAAACAATTGAACCCCCTGGTGAAGGCTGGGAGCAGGTATCTTTGTTCTTCTTGAGGTCACATAGTTTAGATTCCTCTTTTCTCCCTTGGTGGGGAGGGAGGGAGAACACTGTTGTCTCAGACAGCTGAACGATTGCAGCACCACTTTCGTCCCAAGACCCCCAGAGGTCTTTTCGAATGGAACACTATATTCTCTGAGCATTAACTATTTATGGTGTTCAGATAGTCTCTCTGACGCCAGTCAGATCATCAATAATAACAACCTCCTGCCTTCTGGAGCCCCCGGACCTCTGGCCGACTTCCCCATCCCATCGGGGGAGGCAGAGGATACAGAGTCCTGATCTCTCTTTTGCGTCAACAGCTCACCCTTGGGATCTTAAGATTCGAGAGCTGTGGAGACCCTCACCCTTGCCAGAAGCTGAGGCCAGCCACTGAGCCGACAGTTGTGGGACACCCGACCCTGCTGCTCTTCTCATGTGCCGACACCAAAACCCAACTCTCATGGGGGCCAGGTGACCTGAGTCACCCCAAGGAACAAGCTGCAGCAGGAAGGGAGGGTCACTGGTGGGTCTCTTATAACACTGCATCTGCCTCCAGCTGGAGTGCAGAACAGACACACTGGACGCCAAGCTGTGCGAGTTTGATCTGGAAGTCACCAAGGGAGAGTAAACACAGAACAGAGCCGCACAATGTCATTTTTTTTAAACAGCACCACTTCCCCTGACTCTGTTAACACCTCTTTCCATTGAATCCAACAAGCCACTGAATTAGGTCTTTGGCAGCTGTGAGGCACATTTGGTTGCGCTTGCCGGATGCAGAGTCCACAGTCTAAACAGCAGTGCACAGGGCCCTCAGCCCTGCACCCAGGGTGGCTTCTCTGGGAGTCTCACAGGCTAGCAAAGAGAGAATAAAATCAAACAAGTGCAAAGCGGCTCTTGCAATATTTTCATATTCAGCATGGATGTTAACACCCTCCCACATTACAAGAGCTGTGTCTCTCCTCAGAGCACGATAGCTTCCTCCTGTCATCCACATGGGAGTCCGGGACTGCCGGCCTTTCCAGTCAGTCACAAGGACCAGCTGTACTCAAGGAGAGCAAAGGGCTGCCTGAGGAAGTTCTGTGCTTCTGCAGTTTGGCGACTCCACAGGTCGCCTGGATGTAGACCCACGGCCCGTGAAGCCATGTGCAGAGAGGGAATCTTCCCGCAGGGCTGAGTCACCGAGGGTGAAGAGGTACACTGCTCAGCCACAGGAGAGGCCCTCCATGGAAATCTTTATGGAGTGAGAAACAACGAGGTGCCCTGCTGCCAGGAGCCACCCATGAGTCCAGCATGCCCCGGGGCTAAAGACCACGCCAAAGCCAACAGCTTCCCTCTAGCCATCATCTCCGGGCACCTGGGCACCTGGCTTCTGACCCAGCAAATAAGCCACCTCTCCCGCCAAACACAGGGCCAAAGCCTGGGTCCAAGGTCCACACCAGTTCTGCTTCCAGGCAGGCCCTGGAGCAACACTAGGCCCCACGCGGGACCCTAGGGAGAGAGTCGAGTTTCTTCTCCGTGTTCCCCTTGGCCTCCTGAGCTCAAGTGGAACCACGCTCCAGTTCCTGCTTCACATTCAAGAATTTGGATAACTGAACCTCAACCCCCCAACCCCCCCCC